TTTTTTTTTTGCTAGCCATCCTCTATTCAAATAGCTCACAATATAGTAAATATAATAAAAATAACAAACATTAACCTTAATTATCTCCTTAATTTTAGGCCACTAAAATAGCTAAATCCATTTATACCAGCTATACCAGACCAGTATGTCCAATTTCTTTAGACAGTTTTGATAATTTCTATTTTCAATTGTCTTTCCATATAAACATATCTTTTGGTTTCCTGGTTAATAACAATATAGTAAAATTTGGGGGGGTTATATTTATACTAGCTTTTGCCTCTCTGATTTGTGCCTACTTTATTAGTAGATTCAGGAATCATATAGAAGAATTCAAAATATCAGCTCTATGACTTACGATGCTACACTTCAGAGTGCAGCTGGTCCTATAGCCACAATCAGGATACATAATATATCCCCACACCTTCAATTCTCTGGTTAAAATACCAATAAAAAACGAAGATATATGCTGTTTTATTCAGGGTATAACAATAAGACTACAGGGCAAAATGTAAAAATACGTGTTATATAATGTTAAGTGCACTTCTAAACGCATGCACAAGTGTGTAGATTCAAAACGAAAAGACTAACAATAATCATATCCACTGTATACAGGTTAATTCAATAGTCTTCAGAGTGGTATTATTTTTGCCATTTTCAGAAATATAACCTCTACATAGATATAAACTTGTGTTAAGCACAAAGCACATCATGCTAATTGTATAGAAGAAATTTCATTCCAAATTGAAGAAGAGGAAGCTTCCTCTAATTATTCAATCATGATTCTCCGGGGTCTATGTCTCCAAGGTCAGTTATATGTACAATAAACCACACGATCATGGAACATAGTTTCCAGGCCTGTCTCTTACTCAAGGGTGTCTCTATCCTTCCTCCAAAATGTCTCAGCAGTTGGAAATATAACATTATTTGACTCCTTTATTGAATAATGTATTGTAAGAGTCACCCATTGCCTTTAAAGTAATGGGGAGATTTATAAGGAAATTTTAATTTTGAGAGAGATTGTGCATGCAGTTTATTAATAATAGTAAGGAAGCCATCAATAAAAATATACATCAAGAAAATATGGCTTTTGGTGAGTTGCTTCAATGTTAGACATCTTTTCATTCTTAAATGAGATATATTAAAATCTGGAAATTTTGGGGGGAAGGAAAAAGCTTACATGAGCTGAGTTAGACTAATAGTCCAGCTAATGGTTCATATTCAAGGTGCTAAAGTCTATTTTTATTATTCTTAGGATCATCGTACTGAATTGGAAACTTTGTCTTTAAATGTTATTTTAGGTACACTAGAGGTTTTAAATGAATTGTTAAATGTGAGTTTTGTCCTTAAGAAATTTAACAAATTCAGAAAAAAAAAAAGTAATGCACACACATGCATGCACACATAAAGTTAGTAAAATATGCTAGGAATTTTATAAATATTGTGATAATGTGGCATTGTGGAAATTAGAGCAGGAGAAAAATAGGGATATTGATGTTAACAAGAAAAGTTTTCTTGGAAGAACTATACAGGGAAATTCTCATTTAAAGATGATATGGTTAAAACATTACAGGAGAAAAAGTATCATTTTTTTCTAAGTGGATTAGAATAAATAAATGTTTATAGAATAATTTTTTTAAATATTTGAATGTGTAGAGCATTATATGTA